ACTATTCCAAGAGGTATCGGGTCCTCTACGGATAGCTAGCGATGAAACCATTGAGCCGACCACTCAATGCTCGGGAAGTCAAGCTTTGCAGCGAATGAGTCGGGGAATACCTCGCCCCCCACCTCAAAAACAAAGTAAAATTATGGCCCAACACCTAAACAAAACGGGGCATCATTCTGCATACTCTTGGGGTGCAGGTATGCCGCATGGAAAACTTTTCAGCATAAGACCTGCAGCTATTGGGGTCTAGACTGTAGGCCCATGATGCTATGATTAGAACAGCGACCCCCCCAAATAGTATAGGAAATTTGCTAAGTTTTTGGGTTTGTCGTAGCAGCTTATCAGGCCTCTTCCCTCTGACCCGAGAATCGTCCTTTGACCCAAAGGACACAGTAGTCCAAAAGCACAAGCGATGAAACCACTTCAAAATTGCAAATCCTGCCTACCCGCCAAGTCTCAAAACCCTCAAACCGCTGAACAGGCCTCGAACTGCTTGACATAGCTGCGGCAGCTCCAAAACCGGAGCGCAAAGATGCAGCAGGATATGGAACGCATCGGCCTGTCTATTCACAAGACCCCCTTGGATCCCAACGCCTTTAGATCAAGTCTTTGGAGAGAGGGGTAAGCCTGAGCCCGTCTACTGGCATCAACTATAGGGGCCATATCTGGACTAGGGTTTTGAAGTATCATAAAAAGGAGCCCCCCCAAGTAGTGTGTATAAGAACTTACTGTACATTGTGGGGCAGGCTGCGGCTGCCAACACTTGCCATGGGCTTGCAGTGCCAGGACTGATGATGCTTATGTGCTCCTGGGCAGAAGATTCAAAGGAGAATCTACTTGTTGGGGACCTGAATAATTAGATTTGGGCTTTAGGGGTACATATGAGTATATTATGCCATTTTGATAGGGAGTACGTTTACTGATTGCTTGACCCCTTTACCTGTCCTTGCAACAGCTGCCACGGCTTCACACCTGAAGGAATCGACTCCTAAGTACGACCCCTACGATTACTGAGGCGACGACAACGACACGATTTCGGGTTGAGGGTTGTGCAGCTAGTACTACTTAGTACTAGTCCTAAGATTGAAGTCGTCATGGTCAACAGGTGGCAGTAGGAGTAGCATTCCGTCTGCTACTACGACGACTACTGTTGCTGTTACTACTGCTGCTGCGGCTGCCGCTGCTCCTCCTCTTGCTACTGCTACTGCTACTACTGCTGCGACGACAACAACTACTACTACAACTGGCGAAAGAACCCCGACATATCACTTGAAGAGTTGGGGAGAAACACGGACGAAATTCGAGCCCCACGCGACTGTCATAAACATCCCGAAGGACTGCGGCTCTCCACGCTTTGAGGCTGCCAGCATCCTGAGCCCCTACATCTTAAATCCCAAGACTCCCAATTCACGGTTAGGGTTTAGGGTTTTGGGGTTTAGGGTTTCTAGATCCCAACCAAAACTAGCTTCAAAGCCACGACATGCCTCAACCCCCATTCTCCACAAGCTTCTTTCAAGACGATTTTTCAGAGCAACAAACTGGGACAAGCAACTGACAACATGAGGACCCGGCCCTCAGACGCCGATGCCAGGAGGCGTCTACTTTCTGAAACAACGAACACGCTGGGAGCGAAAGTTTGCTCCTCCCCTCAATCGAGCCAGACGATCGGCAGAGGAGAATGTTTAGGGTGTAGGGACGGTGGTCTGGTGTTGGGGCTTAGGCTTTCTGACTTCCGGAGTTCTATGTTTTTGGCTTCGGGGGAATAGAAATCATCACGTCTGGGATTGTGGTTTGAGACGTCTGCTTGGAAGGGAAGTCTGCCTGTTGAAACGCATCTACTCTGGCAGCCTCGCCCCCTCGATCTCCCTGGGACGCTCTCCCTCCCAACCGCCTTGGGCTTTGGGATGAAACCGTGATGTGTATATATATATATATATATACACACACACACACACACACACTTATCTATCCGTCTCTCTCGCTCTCTCGCATATCTTTCTCTCGATCTATGCTCCGCATCTGAATACAGACGTGTATGTATGAACGACTGCACGAATGAATGAATGAACGAATGACGTAAGGAATAATTTCATGAATATACTGCACATATCATACATACCAAAAGGCCATGCAGAGCAACCTAGACCTAGATCGCAAACGCCGTTAACCTTGAAGGTCCGACTGCAATCTGAGCATGGTGGGACCTTGGGTCAAGGATAGTTTCAAAGGGTCCCTTTGAGGCTTTCGGGTTTGGGGTATAGGGAGTAGGGGCTTAGAGGTTGAAGGTGTAGATGTTTCGACTTTCTCTCAGGGTGCACTATGCTGGGCTCAGGGTTTAGGGTTCCAATCTAGAAACCTTTAGCTGTGAGCACCCCCGCAAACAACCGATTTAATTGGGGTGAACCAAGGACCGTCATTGTTCCCTGGATGACCACGTTGCCAACGCAGCGAGTGCATTATCTGGTCAAAATGCACTGGGCCTTACACCGAACACGTGGGCACACCCGGAAATCTACCCTTTAAACCCCAAGCCCATAAGGCTCGTTAGCTCAGAGCAAAACACACCGAGACAGGCAATCGCGAATCTGTATTAAGACCTTAAGCCCAAAGCCCTCAGCCCCAAACTCAAGCCTGGAACACACACATCCCTAGACCCTAAACCCCTAAGTAACCTGTAACCCTAAACCCCTGAATAACCCTAAGCCCTCATAACCCTGGCCCTAAACCCTAAACCCATAAATAACCCTAAACCGCCAAACCCTAAAGCCTGAACCCTGAACCCGAAAGCACGAACCCAGCCCCCAAGGAATTCCTAGGGGACCTGGGTTCCTTTAAAGAATATTCCTTAAAGGGTTCATTAAGGGGTTCCTTTAAAGGATCCTTAAAGGATTCCTTAAAGGGTTCCTTAAGGGGTTCCTTAAGGGGTTCCTTTAACGGATCCTTAAAGGATTCCTTAAAGGGGTCATTAAGGGGTTCCTTTAGAGGGTCCTTAAAGGATTCCTTAACGGGTTCCTTCCTGACAGGACCCACAATAAGGAGCCGGCAGTCGACTGCTTACACTAAGCCCATTCGGAACCCTTGAATAGTTATAGCAAGCCTATAGAGAGCCCCGCCTAAGAAGCACTCTAGACAAAATTTACGGTCCGTCCCTTTTTGTCGCTCAGCTCACGCTTCTTTGGCGAATGGAGCCTGACAGTTACAGAGACAACTCAAAGCTTCTTGGTGTAATTATATGGGTGGTTGTCAGCATTATGGCCCGTTTCTTGGGTACCCTAAATGAAATATTAGGTGCCGTATCAAAATAAGGACCCAAAAAAGGGACCCTAATTTTGACAACCACCCATATGGGTTCAGGTTTAGCGCTTCGAGATTTAGAGATGAGGGGTCTACGGGTTTGGCGGTAATATATAGGGGCCTTGATAATTAGAATGAGGTTTGGGGCCCAGTACATTACACTTATACTAAGGAAGCCCCATAATAGTAGTGGTAACCATTTAGGCCCCTACCTTAGGGTTTAGGTATAGGAGTGGATATCCGAAGCATTTCAGTGAAGGAACAGGTGTGACAGGCCTCGTACCTCAAGGGCCTCAGGGTTTAGGATTGAGGGTTTACTATATTGAACTGAGACCCGTAGCAAAAGCTATAGTTTTAATTAGATGTGTCTTAGGGATTATAGATTTGCAATTATTTCTGAGTACCCCTCAGTTTAGGGTTTCGAGTTGGGTTGACCGCAGGTGGGCCACCTGTTTAGGTTTTCGGGTTGAAGGCTTGGGGGATTTGTACTTGGGGTTGGCGATGCCTTTATGGTCGAAGCCCAAGGGGAGCTTCGTGACTTCCGCGGCACTTACCAAGGGTCCTCATAGTATAAGGATCTTAGATCAGGTCCATGATGGAACCCATGATTTTCTGAGACTTCCAAACTGATGATGGGTTAAGGTTTAGGGTTTAGGGTGCATCCTACACAGCTGCAGCCTGGACAGACCGTCCCTTTGCAAATGTACCTAGTCAAATGGGGCGTGAAAAAATTGGAGCTGATATGTGACCCATGATGAGACTATGGGGTCTGCGAGATAAGAGACCCAGATGTGATCTCCAATGTAGCGTATCCTTATGCTCAGGCTTATATCCACCGGAACAAGCTACCTCCAAAGTGTCTGAAACCTGGAACCCGTTTCGGTGAGCGTCTACAGCGTTTGTTGTGATGTGAAAACAGTGTTGACAAACCTGACAAACCTGTAACTTACTTGTCCAGTATCCCAGAAAACTGAAGGTTGATCTTCGGGGTTATACATTTGCCTACTCTACTACTAGGATAAGAAGCCATCTCTTTTTCCCCAGCATGTGCGACTGCCGGAAAGGCTGCGAAGCGGTCTGTCTGCAGCTTCGAAGGTCGTGAAATGTGTGGGTTGGACCAGTGACATAAATAAGTATATAGTGCATTATAGGTTGTTATCTAGAAATACGATGCTTCAGGGTTGCTTTTTTGGCTGTGTAGAAGGGACCATAAGCGTCAGAACGAGGTTCTATGCACAGGCACATACAAAAGCTTCAAGAATGAGGGGTATGTTCTTGCAGTATCCAAAAAGTCACAGAGCCACCCACACAGAATGAGATGTTGCAGCACTGTTCCGTCAGATCGACGTATGGAGGAGCACCGCTGTCCCATGAAGTCCAGAGAAAACTCGCCCGTGCAATGCTGTCAGCTATCCGTCGTCTCCGCTGCGGCGTGAGTGCTCTTGAGATGAGGGGCACGGCCGTGCTCGACAGAGTCAATCTCGGGCACCTTGCACCAAAGAGTAGGAGAGTTCAGGCTTCAAAATCCTAGGACAGGAGGTTAAGCCCAAGAGTCCGCAGATTTAGAGCTACTATAATTTTTTGCAGGCACAAGAATCGGAGGGTGGAAGTGAAATGTAAGAAGCTGCTTTCTAGACCCTCTTCGTAGCAACCCGCCTTGCAGATGGAGGGGTCCGCAGGCGGTGGCACAACTCCTTCTTCTGCCATCAAGAGCCTGGCTCGGAGTATGTGCTGATTTCAGATTTCGGGTTTCCGTCCGGAGTTCAGGTTGAGGGTTCAGGGTTCCAGACATGGGTTCGGGCACGGGGTTGTTGGGAGCCCTTTGGCTCTAGTTTGCCTGCTGTTTCCGGAAGATGGTGTGGCTCGAGAAATCACGGATCCGAGTCTGGCCTTGAAAGCGGAAAACAATTCAAAGCCTAGCCTCATCATGGAGCTTCTATGTGTTTGAGAAGCCCTTCAGCAGCAGATATGGGTTCGAACGCTGAACACCCCTTCCCTTTCCAGTCCCGAAGTAAGTCTCCGAAAGGTTTTTCACCAAAAGATTTTTCACCAAAGCTGTAAAAAGCATTTTCAACCGTGAACAATAAGTAATGTAGGGACCTCAATAGTTAGAATAGGATCTTGGGGTACACTAGACCATATTTAATTACAAGAAGGAACCACCAAAGTAGTATAGGCAATTACATACTAGTTTAGGCCCCTATAGTACCCCGGGCCTTGGCCGGCTGCATATCCCTGCTGCCACGGGGGCGGGCTTGCGCGGAGCGCCCGCCGGCTTTCAGCTTCTCCGGCCATGTAGCCAGCGAAGGTGCCTGGGTTTAAGGGCTTATAGCGTTGAGGGAAAAGGGGTTTAGGGGTTTAGGGTGTGGTGTTTAGGGGTTAGCGCTGGGTTGCGAAGTCGCTGATAGGTTGCTCTCTACTATAGGATCGTAACGAACATTAGAAAGAATTGCTATACAACCAACTCATGAACAACATGCTCCGCTTGTAGTGAACGGTTGTGTTGTCTGTTTGTCAATCTTGTGGCTGTCAATAGAATTTTAAACAAGATAAACCCTTGACCATATTTTAAACATACTATACTCCGCTACTTTACTGTACTATACTATACCTTCGTGTGACCCAGTAGCACGAAGTTCAAAGCCTAAAAGTACTTTCGCATGCAGGCTCGAAGACCATAGCCACAACATTTTATGGCACACGCAGACTTCATGGAATCCACTGGTAGCAGCAGCAGGTTTATACACCCCGTCATCAGCAACCGTCGACGTGCAACTATTAAAACCACAGCACACAAACAAAACATACACATGTTTATGCATATGTGTATACACACATACGCACATACATGTGTTTAAAGTTTATATAAATCATCTAGCGCACAGGAAGGCACACATCTGAAACTCCCGGCCGGAAGACCAAAGTCTTCTGCAGCGGCCAGGAGCTCGAGAAGAATGGTGCCATTCGTCTCCTCCAGGGAAGGCCCCCAAAGCCCTGCAGTAGCTGAGTACATAAGATTCAGATATAGGTCAAGGACGGACATCACTTTCGCCGTGGCCTTCGTCAAAAGAGTAATAAGTAGCAGCAGCAACAACAGCAGCAGCAACTGCAACATCCACTCACAATTGTTGCCAGCATCACCAACATGGTCATCTCGACCTTGCCAGCGTGATCACCCGAAAACAACTGCAGCAATGGAAGCACGAAGATGATAGTGATGGCGGCAGTTACAACGAATTCAATGGCCGGTCTCCTTCCCCTCTTGCGCAGTGGCCGCAGCCTGGGAGAGAGCCTGATGGCAAAATATCATGGCAGAGATACACGGATTCAGGGGCACATAATACTACAAACAATTAATAGCCCCCTGTGGATTGCACTTTGTTTCGGGACAGTTGTCGGGATCAGTGACTAGGAACACTTCGAGGATCATGAGACTTGCTAGGTCAGGTGGCAAATGGCTGAGTTGGGATTAGTTAAAGGCATAGCTGCATTACTAACCAGTTGTTTTGGGGCTTCCCCGAGCTCTTCAGCTCCTGTTTTTATAGGGATTATCATCATCCCTGGCTCCTTAGCTCCCCCAATACCAATGGGTAGATTACTTATAAACCTATTTACTAAGTCCCACCCTGTAATAGTGACTATAAGGCTTATACAAGGGCCCTATTATATTCCTATAAAACCACTATTACAGGGTGGGGGCCCCTTCTAATCTATTTCCTAAGTCCCACCCCCTAAACCCTAAACCCTAAACCCTAAGCCACCATCTTTCAAGCGAGGCTTCAGTTCCTGGTTCGTCACCTCTTCCCTGCTAGATTTGGGCACACCTATAGTCTCCATTGTAGTTCCTTTTTTGGTTTAACCAGTCTTATGTGTAGCATCCTAATTTTGAAAGGCAGCCCCCCAAAAAGGAATAGAATGGAGACTTTAGGCAACTTCCGGGTTCTGAAACTCGGAGGCTGCGCCTGTCAACATCGCGGTGGCAAACAGCTTATTGATGCGCATGTTCTGGTGTTATCGGCTATCGTATGGGTAGTTGTCAAAATTAGGGTCCCGGTTTGGGTACTCTAAACATTAAATTATGATAGGGACCCAAAAGGGGGCCATAATTTTGACAACCACCCGTATGTTTATGGTATACTATACCATAAAACTGCATGTTAAAACCCACAACCTTTCTCGCTAAAACTTTGTCTCCAATCCCTGAACCCTAGTCCCTTAACCGTTAACCCTCTCCCCGGGTTTTCCTCATCGCAAGCTACTTGGAGGGTCGGGGGACTTAGTAACTGGTTATTTTAGGGACTTATAAGTACCATAACCCCAATTAGGGTCCCTTGTAGGGTACTTATAAGTCTACTTACTACTTACTAAGTCCCCCGACCCTCCAAGTAACCCCCCAACCCATCAGGTCGAAACCTATAACTCTAAATGCCCTCAACCGCAACTCCCTTCCTGTAACGGCAGAGGTTTGCAAAGCCCTGAACCACCACTTGAAGTGGGGTTATAAGCAGAGTAACTATACTTATAACCCCGTGTTTAGGGACTGAAAACCCTACTTATAACTACCCATGAACCTCCAAGCAGGCCCTAAACCCTATGCCCTTATAGAATCCCTATAGATCCCTTCAAAAGGGACCCGTATAAAGGAACCCTTATAACTACCCATGAACCTCCAAGTAGGGTTTAGACTTCGAAGGTTTAGAGCTTGAGGCGCCTGGGCTGTAGGAGTTCAGAGTCAGCGCGTCCGCCAATTCCAAACCCCAAGCCGCAAACCTAAAGCCCAAGGCCTAAGCCCTACCTGTATCCCCAAACCATACAAAATAGTAGGTTATGACCCTCTAATTGTAGGGTCCCCTAAAACATTAGGTAAGCCCTAAACCCTGAACCCTAAACCCGTAAATCTAAAGCCCAAGCCCTAAGCCCTAGACCCGAAACCCTGAACCCTAAACCCATAAATCTAAACCCCAAGCCCTAAGCCCGAAGGTTGCCAACCTCGAAGCTTCGAGGGAAGCTACGAGCAGCGCGATTGCATTTTCCCTTAAAGCCATTTCCTTTCAGAGTTCTGTAAAGATACCATAAGGTCTAGGGTTTTGGGTAAATGAAATTAATTAATTAATTAATTCTCTAATTCATTAATTCATTAATTCATTAATTCATTAATTCATTAACTAATTCATTAATTCATTAATTCATTAATTCATTAATTAATTAATTAATTAATCGGGCCGTAGTTTGCTGAGTCGCTTGATCCTCCAAGCGTGGCAACCTCATACAGAACCAAAACCCTCAACCCCTAAAACTCTTATATATACCCGTAAACCCGAAACCAAAAGCCCTGGAACCCGCATCTCCTAAACACTAAGCCCCTAAACCCCCAACTCTAAACCCCAAAACCTCCAAGCCCTAAGACCCTGGAAGCCCCAAATCCCTAAACCCTCAACCCCACAACCCTTAAACCAACCCCTCAACCCCTAGACCCTAAACCTCTCAACCCTAAACCCTAAACCCCTAGACCTTAAAGCTGTAGACCCTAAACAATCGAGCCTGGTAGAGACGCCTCTCCGGAAGGCCCTGGGAACGGCACCAGTCGTCTACGGCTCCAGCCACACAGCGCCTTGGGGGTCTTTCGGGGGGTTGAGGTTTTGGAGCATTGCGGGATTTAGGGTTAGGGATTTAGGGTTTAGGAGTTTACGGTTTGGGGGCTTAAGGCTTGAAGCGTTTAGGGGGTTTGCGTTTAAGGGTCTTGGGTTTGCCGTTTGAGGGGTTTGAGGGGTTTAGGGGTCTTGGGTGTAGGATTGTAGGGGTATGGTTTAGGGTTTAGGCGTGGCTCAGGGTCTTTATGGGGTTTCGGGGTGCAGGGTTTAGGAGTGTCGCAGCTTGGGACTTCTGGGTACCGGGTATGGCATGTTGGTGCTATAAGAGAATACTATGATGTAGGGCTTAGGATTTCGGGCTTAGGGTTTAGGGTTTAGGGGTTTAGGGTTTAGGGCTTAGGATTTCGGGCTTGCGGACCTCATGGGACATGACTTGGGGTTTTAGGCTGCAGGGTTTAGATGCCGGTGGATAACAGGATTTTCCATGATTGTTGAGGTTTAGGTTTTTTTGGTGCTGCTTTTTGAGATCGGTGACTGATTTCAAGATCCTTTTGTGGTCTTGCGGCGCAGCTTAATCCATGAAGCCTAGATCCAGAGTCCTGCAGCTTACTGCTATAGATGACATCAACCCAGTACCGCATATAGCCTACCCTGACAAAACCCGAATTCCATTCTGCGTCCCCTCGCTCCGAAAATTCCGTTCTCTATTGCTGGTTGGTTACACAAGATCCTGAAACAGGTCGGACCGGCAAAGAAACAAAGAGGCGTTTCGTGTATGCTAAGCTCCCTTGTGCGCTAACTAAAATGAGCAAGTCTGTTCCTTAATTTAGACGTTCGTAGATAAGTAGGTCAGTCGGTCTATCCCTCGATTAAGAAAATCTACCTTCTCCCATAATGAGCAAGTATCTTCCATAAATATGACGTTTAGGAGTCTGTGGGTACAGCCAAACATGACAAGCCGACGAGCTCGCCAAGGCGCCGGAAGCGAAGGAAGGCCTCCAAATGAGTCGCTGGCTGCTTTAGGGATTCAGGGCTTGCTGCTTTCGGTTTGGGACTTAAAGTTGAAGTTTTAGGTCTAGAATTTAAGGTTGCCGTTGTGCCACATCTTGGGCTTGGCATCAGGACTTGGGGCTAGGAGGATTTGGAGGGCAAGGTTTTGGCGAATACGATTTAGGGCTTTGGGAATCGAGTGCGGTGCCTAAAGTATGGACGAGCTTTTGAGGTCGCGGCTTGCAAGGTTTAGCCTATCTGCGGCTTCGAAAGTTTGGGGTCAAACATGTCTACGCATGCCTGCATGCAGGCATGTATGCAGGCAAGGATGTGTCTGCACCCATGTGTTTATGTATGCATGCTGTATGGGTGTACAGCCACAAAAACACATTCAGACAAACATGCATACATGAAGAAACTCTTGTTTGCCTGCAGCACGCTCCGGCTTCATAGACGCGACTGATGCGACCCTCCTCTCTTGCCTCTCTAAAGCCCAAAAATTTTCGAAAACTACGAATCCTTCAGTCCGTAAACCCTAAACTTTGCACCCTAAGCCCGAAACACCTGCAGAGTGTGGGGCCTCCATGCGCTTCAAGTCATGCTCGCTCTGCTCTGAGCACTCAGCTGGCAGGGCTGCTGGGTCGAGTCCGTCAAACCTGGAACGGCTGCTTTTTCGGGTTTCCTTACTTGGAGGCCAAGGGGACTTGGTAGGTCGGTTATAGGTAAGGTGATCATAGGGGTAACTCAATTTGGTGTACTTATAACTCTACTGGTAACCTACTTACTAAGTCCCCTGGGCCTCCAAGTAAAGGGTTCTATACGGGATTTTTCTTTCGGGTCTACTTAAAGGATCAAGGGACTTAGCAACTGTGTATAGAAATAACAACGTAACCATACTTATACTTATTAGGATAACACCGATGAAGGTACCCACAACCGTATGCACTAAGTCCAATGATCCTTCAAGTAAGGGCTTAGAAAACGCCGAAACTCTGCAAGTAAAAACATCTCAAGTTTACAACAAGAGCCGACCAAACACCCCAAGACCCTGCCTAAACCTTCAAAGCTGTACTGACTGAAACCTTCAACTTTACGAACTGGAACCCACAAGCTTCGAGGGATGAATGCCTGCAACTTCAATATATAGGAGCTTCCATGAATATGTACAGTAAGTTTTGGGGGCTCTATACTTCGATGAATTGTTAATTACTGATAGTATCGTGGAACATCAATGAATAAGAGAGTCCATTTCTTTAGCCTTCCATACCACATCACCGTGTGGTCCCAAGGCTCAGCGACTGAAAATCTTCAAGGTTTAAGAAGCTGCAGTTCAGGGTTCAGGGATCATTTTAGGGTTTAGGGCTTAGGGTTCAAGGATCAGAGTCTAGAATGGGGTTTAAGGGTGTAGGGTTCAGGGTCAAGGGTCTAAGGCTTGCAAAACTTAAATACTACCAACCCCTGAAGCCCAGGCCCTAACCCTAGTCGCAACCCTGCGCAAACCCTTATCCCAAACTAAACCCCGGCCGCGGACCCAAACCTTAACCCCCAAATGTCTGCAATTTAAGGACATTTGTAACGAAATCATAGCACAACGTCAAGGTACAATCGAATCTACACCCCGAGACCCCCAATCCTGGGAGGCTTCAGAAGGTGGGATGAAGGTAGGTGGGATATTCCCAAATAAGAATCCTTATAAGGCATCTTTGGTCCTACCTACCTTCATTGCACCTGTTGAGGCCTCCGAAATCCTCGAACTATAAAATCACGTACGCCATGAAGCAGATGGCAGTCTGCCGCTGCCATTTCCTGGCGTGGCTTCGGGTTCAGGCTCTTTAAGGTGTCCCTCGCGGGACAAACGAGAACGTAAGATAACATAGTACAGCACACTATAGGTTGTCATAGACTATAATATACTACAAAACCCTCAACCCACCCTGAAGACATCACATCTTCGAGCCCCCTGTGCGACCTCAGGGGCTCATCAAGCACTATGACTAACAACCGAGATAGAACTACTTGGCCGTTTCAAGATGCTGCTGTCTTGTAGCTTTGGGCCGGCCCATGTGTTTTTGCAAAACCTGACCTTACGCGAACCCGAAACCTCCCTACGAAGGGTACTTTCACAAGCCAGTGAGACGCCCTGCAACAAGAACAGAAGAGTTTGTGTTGCGACGACGATGTAGGGTTTAGAGAAAAGTTGTGTAGAGCCCCTGTGACTCTGACATTAGAGCTTGTATTACGGCCCTGGAGAACAAGTGGGTTTTGGTAGGCTCACTGGCCCAAAACCCAAAGGAATAAAAGTTGAAACTTTCAGAATCGACTACCCTATAAACACCCCAAAAGTTGAAAAGTTGAGTTTAGAGCCAATAAGTAGGTTAAGGTATACTGCAGGTTGAATGGCCTTTTGTTGGAAGTGCCTTGGTCGCTCTGGCACTGCTTGGCCCCCACCGAGAGTCCGGGGGCATCTACAGTTTGTGGTTTCGGGTTGTTGTCAGCTCATCCTCGGGTCCATGAGGGCCTCTGGAGGAGGGTCTTGTTGAGCTGTATAAGTTTTGAAGACGAGGTACGAAGACCGCGGTCGCATCACGCTGTCCCTGAACAAACCCTAAACCCTGAACCCAGGTCCTGAGATCATCTGAACTTTAGACCCAGCCCAGCTCCCGTCCGCCACCTCAAATTCCAGCTCCAGATTCGGCCAAGGCTCATCGATCACCGGCTGAATATGGTCCAAGTAGTGGGACACCAGCCCTGGCAACCCTAAACTCTGGCGGCAATGCAACAAGGATTTGTACAAAACTGTCGGATTGTTTTTTCCAATTCGGTTGCGGGCGTTAGGACGTTGCTGGATTGGATAGGGACGACAGGTACCACTTTTTCCTACATGCTTCACACAACGAAATAATTGGAAGGGTACACTGCGTAATACACATGGAGTTTTCAGACCAGCAAGGTACTGTATGCGAGAATGGGTGGCACCACTTCGTACGTTTCTGTTTCATACGGGGAACGTTAACCCTTAACCTTAATCATTAGATTAGGGTTTCGGAGTATAACAACATAAGCCAAGAGGACTTTGAAAGGGAAACTGAATAGCTAAATATTCAAACCCTCATGCGGTACCCTAGACTCTAGACAAGAACCACTAGATCGACATCCTACCTCCAACCCGGGACCCAAATCACCGGGCCTTAGTAGTACGGAGAAGAATGTTCGGGGTCATAGTCTAGTATCATCAAATAGGGAAAGAAGTCGTATTGCGGTGCAAATATTATACATGCCCCCCATAGTATACCCCATCTTCGCAGAGCAGAGCACTTGAAATGGCCGTGTCCAAGTCCTCGGACATGACAGCATCGCCCACTGCACTGAACGCCGTCGACATGGCAGAAAGGCGGCTTGGGGCTCAAGTGGAGTAGGGCTGCAGAGAGACTCCGAATGACTAAGCCAAACAACATGAATGGAATATCCGTTTGGAAGTCACCAAGACCTATATAGGCCAAACCGACAACTGAACTTTTTGGCTGGTTTTTCATAGGGGTGGAGACTAGCTTCCAGGGTCATGAATGCAAGTGCTATGAAGTAGCCAAAAGGTGCAGAGATCTTTCCCTCTCTCTCTCGCTCTGTCGTATATGCATTATGTAGTGATTGTTTGGTGTTCAGGTCCGAGCATCATCTCTCCGATGGCAAGAAGTGCCAACCACAAAGTACACGCCAGTCATGAACCAAACACGACAAACGATCTAGCCCGAAGCACTGAAACAATGGGTTTGGTGCTTTTGAGTTTGGGCTTGGGGTTTCGCTCTGGGGTTGTTAGGGTTTGCAGTGTGCCTTCAACCATTATATTAAGGCCCCATGATGCAAGTTTAAGGTATCTCCTAAATCGAGCCGTAAAATTTTCTTCAAGGGGCCCTAAAACCCTTAAGGCCAATTTAAAGGGGCCCCCCTAGGTATTTGGGTTTAGGGCTTAGAGTTTATAGGTTGTGGGCTTAGAGTTGAGGGTTTAGGGCTCAGGGCTTTGAGTCTAGGCTTTACCCTGGGGATCAACATAGCCCAAAAGCCGGTTTAGGGTTTAGGGCCCAAAAGCCTTAATTAATATATGAGTCTTTAGATCCCCAGGGTTAGGGTTCAGCTCGGGCAAGCCTGGCCTCGACTCAGAGAGCTTTGAAGACCTCCACAAGGAGCAAGGACACCTGGCTTGGAGTTGGAGTTTAGGTCCTAGGGTTTAGGGGGTCCTAGAGCCTAGGGTTTAGAGGTTAAGGGTTTAGGGTGCAGGGCTCAATTTTTGTTTGAGCCCGTTTTGCACCCAACAATCCAACTTGCTGGTCGAAGACCACTTAGGTCAAGGGTCGGCAGATTTGCCGAGAAATGGACTCCCTCACGAGGCATTGGGTTGAGGCGTTTCGGGTGTAGGGTGTAGAAACCCTAAACCCTAAACCCTGAACCCTGAACCCTAAACCCTAAACCCTGAACCCTGAACCCTAAACCCTAAACACCAAACCCTAAAGCCTAAAGCCTAAAAGCTACACCCTGAACCCTAAACCGTAAACCAGAAAAAAAACACCAAACCCTAAAGCCTAAAAGCTACACCCTGAACCCTAAACCCGGTTTAGGGTTTAGGGGTTTAGGGTTTAGGGGTTTAGGGTTTAGGGGTTGGGATTTGGGTTTCTACTGCTCCTGTGCTGTTTCGGACTTTCGGGGTTCGAGGGCTCTGGATTTGGGGACTTGGTGAGTTTCTGCTTCCCAGAGACTCCAAAACCCTTCAATTAAGGAATATACCTTAAATTATATTAGGGTTCCCACTATGATTCCAGGTATATTCCTTAGTTAAGGGGTTTTAGAGTCACTTGGTTCTTTGTGCTTGGACGCTTTTACAAGCTAAAGACAAAAGATTCATCACTCCTCCTCAAATTCGTCGACTGGGGCAACACGGTGTGCAAGTACTGCAGGAATCTGAAGAACTAGAAATGCACGCAGTTTTGTTGTGTTCCTTTTCGGGGTCTGTCTATCTGAGTCTATCGAGTCTTAGCAACAGGTGGCCCTAAGCCCTACACCACAAGGTTTTGAGGGGAACAGTTTGGCCTGTCATCTATATAGCTCTCTGCCCACTACGTCTTTGCTTTGATCTTCTCTTCTTCTTGCTCTCCTTGCTTGTCCAGTTCCCAAGCGGAACTAGAGGTTAAACTTTGGAGTTGTATAATGGAGTTTCCTCCAGTTTCGGCTTGAGGTTGGGTGCAGGCCGTTGAATGATTGAGGATACGGGGAAGGTATGACTTTCAGCTGCTTTAGTTTAGCAGTTCAGGACGATTCGGGGGCCTGGAATGTTACGCTTTCACAGGTTCGCATCCTGGAGCAAGTATATTGCACAAGATAGATCGAAAGGAATTCTACAAGACTGATGATCCTTTCTGATAGTCACTGATACATTTGATAGTGTATCAGGCAACCGTCGTGCCCACGGGCGCTGCTCATTAACTCCTACGTCCGTACCCCGGATCCATCATTTGCAGAGGACAAGGGACAAGGGCTCCCTGATGGGACCCTAATCTACGTAGCAGGATCCTCACGACCCAAAGGGTCCTAGGTACCGCTATGGGGGATGCCTTCCCAAATCATCATAACAACTCCTTAAGCGTTATATGGAAACCCTACATTTTACCATACACCCTAAGGGTCAATGTGCCCATATGATATGCACTTAGGACCGAACGTACCTAAGTAGGGACTACTGTATGAATACATGGACCCCTAGGGATAGGTACTTACTGTTGATGATATAATCCTGCATCACCTTAAGGACCCCAAACTATGCGAGTAATGGTATATTCCTTATAATGGGTAATGCAGGATTTCTATCATCAACCGTAGGACCCTTTGAGTGAAAAGCACCTCAGAGAGGATCCGAACTCGGTCTGTGGCCCCGGGCGACGCTCCCCGCGAAGCTTCCACTCTGTACGGCAAAGCCAGCCGCCCAATAGCCTCGAACGTGCCGTTTTAGTTTTTTTTAAAGGTGCAACGGCCTTTTCTGTGTCTGCAGCGTCAGCCCGCCTCGTTGAGGCGGTTTGGGGTTTAGGGTTTAAGGTTTAGGGCTTAGGGTTTAGGATCCAATAGCCTCGAGCATGCCGGTTTAGGGTTTAGGGCTTAAGTTTTGGGCTTAGGGCTCAGGGCTTAGGACCCAATAGCCTGGAGCATGCGGTTGCATGAAGGGGCCATATTCACTACACTGGGGTATTTGGACACATGATACTTGTTCTTGTATGATTGTATTTGGACTAGAAGCATGATAGTAGATTTGGCACAAATTCTTACCAATTGTTCAGACTCCTACTTATACTGTGGTTTTGGGTCTGGAGCTCCGGGGTAATAAGGTGTTCAAATTACTGATGAAGGTTGAGAGTTTGGGATTGCAGGTTTGGGACTTATGGAGGTTCCACAGAGAAGGGTTCGGGGTTTGGGTTGCAAGGTTTGGTGTGCGGCTAAATGGTTTGGAACCCCTGGAAGGCTGTCTTTCTGCTTCCACCGCCGTTGTGCCACCTCGCCGTTGATTCTTGCTCTCCATGCTTTGGCTGCCGCCGAAGCCGTTGTCATCGCGGTCACGCCTGCGGCTGGTGCCGATGGTGCTGCTGCTAAGCTGGGGCTGTTGATGCAGCGATTGCTGATTGCAGGAAGCTGCAACACTTGGCATCCTCCTCCTGATCATCCTCATCACTAGCACCACTCGCGAAGGGCCACATTCGGCATTGGTGTTGGGTATGAGGGCTTGATCGTTGATGCAATATCTGCAGGCATGAACCTGAAACCCTCAGGTCACATGTAAACCAAACCTAAACCCAACATGGTCATCCATTCTGGGCCCTTTGGTCGCTTCCACGGTCTGAGCACGCTGCGGTACTCAGCACTGGCACTATCTCCAGAAGCATCCTCGCGCAGGAAGTGTCAATATTCAGTCTAGCCCTTGTTGCGGTGATGACGACGACGAGTAGTATGACGGCCGCGACGACGACGCCGACAGCAGCCCTGCTCTACTGCCGCTGCTCCTGCTAGGATGCTTCCCACATTTCATACTACATGCCCGAGGGATCCATGCACCCATATAGTATACTTGGGCCCTAAAGTTCCTAACGTACCTAAAGAGGGACCATACAGCCAGGCCAAGGTATATACTCTATGAGCACATGGACCCTTGGCGACAGTCAGTTCTCAATAGCCCCAAGATGTGTGAAAATGCAAGGGTTCAGGGTTTAGGGTCTAGGCATGCATGGTAGCTACAAGTAGGGTTAGAATAAGTACTTGGAGGTTCATGGGTAGTTATAAGTGGGGTTATAAGTAGGGTAACTATAATTATAACCCATATTAAGGGGCTTATACACCTCCAAGTAGAGAAGGCTCGGTTTGAGGGTATGCTAGGTTACCTAGTAGCCCCTTGATGTGTCTTTTTTCCCACAGCCCGAACCCCTAAACTTAAACTTCCAGCACTCTGAAACATCTAGAGCTGTCGTACCAGTCGTCGTTCCAAGCGGACACCCATACCCCAGGAGCTCACTAACCATGAAACCCGAAAAAACACATAGCCCCGACACCGGCTCAGTGCTGACTTCCAGGCGTGGCGTCTTTTTGCATTTGCCTCATAACCATGTTAAGGTACGTGCAGCCGCCACCGAGCCAAGCTGATGTCTGATGCTGCGGCATCCACGAGTTTCGGTCCCTTTAAGAGCAGTGGGGGTCTCAACAGACGACTGGAGACATGTCAATGCGAATCGCAAGGACTCGTAGTGATAAGCACATGATCCGACCCGAAACCGAAAATTATCGCATTCTGACTTCGCGGTTCCTTCGTGAGGAGTCGGGGTGGAAGAGTTCCACAGCAGCTATTTCCATGGAGCCCAAGACTCTGGAGCAAGGAATCCCTAAAGCTTCCGTAAAGTATGCAGGGCGTGAGGATCACAACATGAACTTGACAAGAAACCTGGATGTCTCCGCAGAAGTCCGTGCATGATCGGAGGTAGATCTGAATTGATGCTGCAGGAACTCTGAACAATCGCTGCTCATGAGGCTATTTTCAGGAAGCCTCTTTCTGTTCCTTAAAACGCAGAACCTGCGCAGCAGACTTTTGCTCGGTAGGGCAAGATCATGATCTAGGATACCCAGTAACCTAGGAATAAAAAGGCCTCTCTTTTTGGTATTGGGTAACTTTATAAGGAACCTAGGACTAGAAAAAGGGAATAAGGGTACTACTGGGCATCCTAGTTATACTATTTCTACTTCTGCAACTACCAACGACAACGACTACCACTGCGACCACTACCACTACCACTACGGCTGCTACTGGTATTTCGACGACGACGGCGGCTTCCAATCCTCCTGCTGCTGCTTCTACTATTACTAGGATTGCTACTATTAATATTATTATTATTACTACTACTACTACTACTACTATCACTACTACTAGTACTACTACTACTACTCCTGCTGCTGCTGCTACTACTACTACTCCTGCTGCTACTCCTGCTGCTGCTACTACTACTACTACTACTACTCCTACTACTCCTATACCACTCCTTCTACTGCTACTACTACTCCTACTACTATTGCCACTACTAGTAGAATTAACTACTACGACGACTACTACTACCGCTGCTACTACTGCTGCTGCTGCTGCTGCTACTGCTACTGCTACTGCTACTGCTACTGCTACTGCTACTGCTACTACAACTACTGCTATTACTACTACTACTACTACTACTACTACTCCTACTACTCCTACGACTACTACTACTACTACTACTACTACTACCACTCCTTCTACTGCTACTACTACTCCTACTACTATTGCCACTACTAGTAGAATTAACTACTACGACGACTACTACTACCGCTGCTACTACTGCTGCTGCTGCTGCTGCTACTGCTACTGCTACTGCTACTGCTACTGCTACTGCTACTGCTACTACAACTACTGCTACTACTACTACTACTACTACTACTACTACTACTACTACTACTACTACTACTACTACTACTACTAATACTACTTCTTCTACTACTACTCCTGCTCCTACTGCTTCTACTACTACTACTACTACTACTATTACTACTACTACTACTACTACTACTACTACACTACTACTACTACTACTACTACTACTACTACTACTACTACTACTACTACTACTACTACTACTACTACTACTACTACTACTACTACTACTGGTACTCCTGATCCTGCTCTTCTCCTGCTCCCTCCGACTTCTACTCCGACTCCCAGTGCCAGTGCAAGTGCTACGACTTCTACTACCACGACTCTTGCTATGACTCCTACTACTACTACGACGGCGACGACTGCTGCTGCTGGTCCTGCTGCTGCTGCTGCTACCACTGCTACTGCCGATTTAGTATTGTCAAGATCGGTTGAGAGCTCCTGCTTTCGGGTCCACAGGACAGCTCGCTTGCATTGGCGAACGTCCTCGCCATCTTTGTGATGGAATCTTTATACAACTCTCAAGAAAACCGCATGGAGATCCTCTGCAGAACCATGGAGGAAGCTTATTATGGCACCGTGTTCGAAAAGCTCTAAACCCAAGCCCTAAATGCCCTCAACTTTAAACGGCCTTCACTCCGACTCCGAGGAGGACTCTTCCTGACTTCAAGGGCTGCAGAAATCCAGAATTTCCGGTGTAAAACGGGAGCTCAGTTTAGGGCTCAGGGTTTGGCTGAGTGTCGTAGAAAAGTTGTGCTTTATGGCATATCTCTAAAGTTGTGATAATGATGCCTTGTTTTGCATTTCGACCGTGGTTTCTTAGTCTTAGGGTTCGCTCCCACGCAAGAGAAGGATCTCAAACTCACTGGGGCTGTTAGAAGTGTCTGCCTCCATTTTGTTACAGCCTACCTACTACTTACACACGCTGTGTGCTAGACCAGAAATCCTAGCACCATCCGGCTGTCATAGCAGAGCTGGAACCAATACCCTCACACGACAAGTCCCCGATCCGTCGACCCGAAAGCTGAATAACCCTAAATGAAACCTTTGTTCTTTTCATAGGGTTTAGGGTTTAGGGTTTAGGGTTAAGCCCAAAAGCCGAAACCCATCATGGTCTCTGATAGGGATCTCGAAAGAAACCCAAAACCCTTGGCCCCGAGCCCAACAATCAAGACTCAACGCCCCGTTTCAAAACCCAAGCCCTCCGAGTGGGTGGTGTGGGTCGTGATGCTCGTCAGCTGTGGACATTGGAGGGACTGGGGTGTAAGGCAGTTTAGGGCTTAGGATGCTGTCCCGAAGTCAAGCCTTTTAGTGTTTATGAGGTTGGGCTACTCGTACGGCAGAGTGCAGACTCTAAACGTGGCACCAAGTTCTGGGTCCTTGTATCCAAACCGGTAAAAATGTCGGCTTGGGATGGCCAGGATAAAGGTGGTGGTGGTGCATGGCACTTGTTCAAAAAAACTGTCCCCACAACAGCCACAAGCCAGGTTCCTGCTGTGGCTACAATCTCCAGATAAGGCAGTGACTCCCGATAATCGCTCCTCGCACAAGACCGTCCGCACACAAAGTGGAAACTAAACCCAAAATCCTATAAGACCGTGCCTGACATGCAGCCGAGTGTCCCCCGCTAGTTGGCCGACGATGAGTCCCGCCGCTCCCCCTGAAATGACACCTCAATACTTGAAGGCTCAGAGGTAGTGCCAAGCGACTATGTAGGGATGTAAGGAAAAGTACAGGGAACACTAAGGCTTGACTAAGGCTATGATGAGCAACAAGCGTAGCTGACGTATTCCTGAGCCTTCGCATGCCAGTATCCCTGAATTCCTGGCAGTAGCCGGCAGCACAAATCCGAAACATGCCTCGAAACCGCGTGCCTGCCCCTGACATTGCCGAGATTCGTGCTGGAGCTTTTGGAACCAACCTCAAACCCTCAACCATATACCCTAAACCCCTGAACCCTAAACCCCTAAAACCTAAGCAAGCAGCACCACCCCAGAAAAGGGCTAGGGAGGTTAGAAGACGCGGCTTGCAACCTGCTCCTTGCAAGAACTAAAACAACGTAAACATATATATATATATATATATGTATAAAGATATAGATATATACACACATAGATGTATACTCGAGATGTTCTATAATAGTTTATAAGACATGATATATACATATACAAATATGTATATGGACATACATAAACATGTATATATATATATACATACATATATTCATGCAGAATGTGACCAACTCGCGGCAAGGTGCAGCAGCATGTGATGCAAGGCATCATGTATTTCCTTGGCTGTTGCAGTGTGGAAGACAAGTTTTCTGTAGATCTTTACTGCAACACAGCGGGCCAGCTGCAGTCCATGTAGCCTTGAATCTGTATTCTATAATTACTCCTAAACCCGAACACGAAACTCGAAACCCTAATCCACGAACCTTCGAGCCCTCTCAAAATCATGAATACTTCTCGCGGGCTCTCAAGACAATATCTGGGACATTAAACCAGCGCAGCCAAGGGCTGCCTGGCATCTGCAAGTCAGCTAAGCACGGATGTAAACCCATAGGTAAAGATTGTTTCTGTAAGCCCCTTTAGCTAAGATAGAGGGCTTCTTGATCAGGGTCTAGGCTATCCGTGGTGTAGTCTAGTTCAGGACGAGTTTAGGGCTTCGGGTAAAGGGTTTCCTAAACCCTGAACCCTAAACCCGACAAAGTTGAGAGGCTTTGGGGATACAGCTGAGGGATAAGAAGATTAGGGTGCTTAAAGGTTATGATTCCCTGCTACGACCTCTGTGGCTCAATTCTAGAGCTCAAGCTTGCTGGGCATGGCACTTCAAGACTTTCTGAATGTTGGGGTACCGTATTTGGATGTCCTTATAGTAAGGATCCTTGTTCTTGCGTTCTGGGGTCCTCATTTTCTGGGGTCCTCACTGTCTGAAAAACTTGAAC